ACGTGTGCTCGCCAGACAGACAGAGACAGAGAGATAGAAAGCAAGAAATCACCCCCCCAGAGGGGATGGCCATGCCACAATCCCTTCTCCTCCATTCTCCCCTTGAGATCTTGGGCACGCACGCACACGCACCCAGTGTGAGTTTAAGCCACCAGGTCCAGGACTCGAACCGCAGTCAACTACGTGGGAGTCCAGCGACATACCCATTATGCCAACTGCTGGTCCCAAGATACAATGTTCTTCAGATGTTAATTCTCCCCAATATTCAATGTCAACCCAGTAGAAATTCTATCAGGATTTTTGAGAAAAACAAATTGGAAAAATTGTCAAAATGATTCTAAAATTAATGTTTAATATATATTTATATTTATTTATAATATATTTACACATAATATATAAAAATAATATATATTCCTATATTTCATATTACACATTATATATGTTATATATAATTCAAATACATAAAAATATAAATATATAAAATGTATATAATATATATGGGATTATATTATTTATATATATATTTAAGAGAGATTTTTTTCTATAGGATACATGTGTTTGCCAGAGAGACTGAGAGAAACAAAAGAAAGAAAGACAGAAATCACCCCCCAGTGGGGGCATGGCCATTCATAGTCCCTTCTCCTCCATTCTCCTCTTGGGATCTTGGGCACACATGCTCACATGACCAGTGTGAATTTGAAGCCGCCAGGTCCAGGTCAACTACGTAGGAGTCCAGTGATGTAACCACTATGCCATCTGCTGGTTTCCATGGGGAATATTAAAGGTCATTAATTTTTGTATTTTGATTGTTTTCCTTATGGTAACTATTTTCTGTGTCCTGTTTTAAAAAAATGTTTTTATCAAAAGATATTAAGTTATGTATGTCTATTATATTTTAGAAATTTTTTTAAATATCTAAATATATAACCTAGCTAGAATGACTTCTGTGTATTGACCATTGGCCATTTTTACCTATGTGGATATCAATTCAACCATCATTTATATTTAAAAAAATATTTTCCCTGTTACATTGCTGTCATCGCTTTGTACCAAATCAAGTGAATCCAACTTTGTTTTCATCTAAAAACATTAAGAGTTTTAAATGAAAACCACATAGCATAAGGAGATATTTGTATTAGCAAATATAGTTAAAGGTGGTTAAAAAAAATCTTTTTAAAGATGTGTTATCTACCAGAAAAGGCCAGAAAGAATATAAACCATTCCAAATATGTTCTACTCAATTTAGAACATATAACTTACCTAAAAGTCTACTATATATCTTACTAATGCTCAGCAAAAATTGATCGCAGGATCTCTCTAAAGAAGCTTATTGGGATGATACCATTGAACCATGGCTAATAGCTGTGCATGGAGGCCACATTTCACACGGCCAACTATGGTTTGAATCCTGGCCCAGGAGTAACATGCCTGGCATGGATCCAGATGGGATGGAGAAATGGAGTAAAAAGGATTGTGGTGTTCTGCCTTTTTGAGAGAGGTCTCTCTCTCTCTCTTTCTCTCTCTCTTATGTGCACATGCCTTCTGGCAAGAAAGAAAAAGAAAAAAGAAAAATAATAATAATAAAAAAAAAACACTGCACTGGAATGTAACCTTCATTTTGATTTGTTTAATTACAGTTGGTACATGTGAATAAATGCACACACTTCTCTAAAAAGTCCATAAAGTAAGCCCTATCATTTGCAAATGGCCACAGTCTCACATTTATTCATACTTTCTGATCCTTATATCTTACTCTCAGCTACCTAAAAAAAAAAAATCAAATGTTTATGCCTTTGACTTTAACTACTGCTGCATCAATGTACCATTTTTCCACATGCATACCTAGTTTACCTAATGTAACAGTGTGTGTAAAAGTGCATCCCTAAGTTGAGTATGTATAACAGCATTTTTTAAAAGCCAGGTACTTTTTTCCTTTATTGGTTATAATTGTGTAATATGTGTGAAGCAGATAGACTTATTCTGAATAACACACCTTTCCCATTTTATTTAACCTTCCATCAAATAATATGAAGAAGTCAATAAGGATAGTACATTTATCTTCCGAATCTGTTGTCTTGGTGTCATGAAGAATTCTTGACCAGTAGTAGCTATTCTATAAATAATAGCTGAATGATGAATGAATAAGTGAGGTATCATTTCATTTTCACAGTAATGTTGGGAGACAATTTGCTGTGGGTCTCTTACATTTCTGTATATTTTTATTTTAATTTCTTTTGTACATTCAAACACTGTACATCACTACAACTTGTAAAGTGAATTTACCTAAACAGCATCTGCAAATCTTTAAAGTCAAGTCAGAATGTTCTTTGTTCCAGGCTACATTTAGAAGGATGCTATTAAAATAGAAAAACTGGGACCAGCAGTTAGCGTAATGGCTATGTTGCTGGACTCCCATTTAGTTGACCATGGTTCAAGTCCTGGACCTGGTGACTTAAACTCATGCTGGGTGAGGGAGTGCATGTCCTAGATCCCAAGAGGAGAATGGAGGAAAAGGGATTGTGGCGTGGCCATCTCCCCTGTGGGGTGATTTCTTGCTTTCTGTCTCTCTGTCTTTCTGGTGCGCATACACGCCCTATAGGAAAAACCTATCCAAAAAAAAAAAAAAACCTAGGAAAATAGGTTTCCTCTTTTCGAGATAAAAAAGGAGACAAACTTTAAAAACCACAAAGAAAATATCTTCTTCCAGAGCAATGGGCATGTATATGTTATTAACTATTGTAACTTAATGTTTTTGGATGTGTTTTGTTCTTGGGTGTTTTTCCCCCGATGGTAATATGATTCACTCCAAGTACAAGTGTCAACTGACCTGCTCACAGCAAAAAATCATACTAGCAATCCAACAGGCAGGAGAGAATTTATTCAAGGCTATTGCAACATGGGAGAGGCCAGAGCCAAAGTTGAACTCAACTCATTAAAATGAAGGCAGTAGAATTTTTAAGAGTTGTGGTGTGTGTGTGTGTGTGTGTGTGTGTGTGTGTGTGTGTGTGTGAAGTGGGATGGCATAAGCAATCTATGTTTGCCAATTGGGGTTAATCATAGAAGTAACATTTCTTTATCTTCACATCAAGAGATAGTTAGAATAAAATGGCAGCTAAAGTTAGGCCCCTGTCTTCAGAGCAACTTGGAGATGGGACACTATATTCCTTGATTACATTGTAAAGAAAAGGCTCCCTGGCCCTTAAGAAAAAACAACAACAAAAAAAGAAACAGTTCTGGGTTGTATAACCAGCAGGTGCCTTTTAAAAATATTTACATCTCAAAGGAGCAGAGAAAGGTTTCGCAGTTACAAATTTTCTAAAGTAAATGCTCTAGGAAAGTGGAGTTAAGGCTCCAGAGGCACAAATAATTGGTCTAAATTTCCATGGTGCACAGGGAAATGCTAAGGCTGTCTCGGTCAGTTTCTATGGGTCACCTTGAGAAAACCTAGACTCAGAGAACCAGCGCCCCCTGCCACAAATGGTGATACTGAGGATTGCTGTTATATGTAAACTGTCCTTCCTCCGTTACCAGGATTCATGTCTGTTATCCATATGCATAAGTTTGAGTAAAAACAACATTTATAACCAAAAATAAATGACACGTATACATTCCAAAATAAAATTAATTGTTTTATTTAGGGCTATAAGAAGAAGCAAATTCTGAAAATGAGAAATAATATGTCTTTTGCCTCTGCTTTTGAAGAGAATTTTTACACTGCAGTTTAAAGTACTTTGTCAGCTGGAAAGTAGGGTAAAATCACAGACACTGAGTTCTTAACAATCAAACATTGAATTTTTATCTTTTTGAGGAACAGTCACCAAAATTTCTCAACAGAGAAAGAGATCACTTCAATTAATTTTAACTTGATATTTAAGTATTTATCAACTGTTTAGTGTTTTAAAAATTCATTTATAAAGAAGTGAATTTACTGGAAAAGCAGTGAGTTGCAATTATACAATTACATCTATCCATTGAACATTTTTTAATTAATTTTATATAATTGCTTGTGTTTATGGATTTCAGTAAATAATGTGAAAATGTCATTCTTTATACACTTTGAAAAAGTTTATTATGAAGTCACCAGAAAGTCAAAACACAAAGAACACTACTGTGAAATTCAAAATGCAAGTACGGTTTTGCTTTAACATCACATTGGTTAAAGTACTTTATACTGCAGTGTAAAAATACCATTCAAAAGTAGAGACATAAGACATATTATTTCTGATTTTCAGAATTTGCTCCTCTTTATGGCCCTAAATCAAGGAATTAATTTTATTTTGCAATGCATATGTGTCATTTATTTGGGGGGTTATACATTTTGTTTTTATTTTAATGGAATGATTTAATTAGTAGTAGATATTTCTGCCTTATTGCAGTTGTTACTTAAAAACTGGAGTCCGTGATAAATGAGATCAGTTTTATGTTAATTCGATTTCAAAATTCTACTAAAATTCTTCTAAAACATATATCCATTCTTTTTATTTTAATTATTAATTTTTATTAATTATATTGTAGTGAGAACATCCAACATGAAATCTCCCCTCTCAATGGATTTTTTTTTTTTTTCTGCTATAGTCGGTGTGTGCTCTTACTAGAGAAAGAAAATGAGAAATCACTCCTTGTGAGGGATGGCCACACCACGACACAATTCTTTTTCCTCTACTCTCCTTTTGGGATTTTGGAAACACACATTTCTGGTGTGACTTTCCAGTTTTTTTTTTTTTTTTTTTCCTTCTTGGGCTTGCCAAAGAGCGGGGAGGTGAGAAATCTTCCTCTAGGGGAGATGCAATGCCTTCTCTCCACCATTCTCCTCTCAGAAGTCTGGGTACAAGCATGCAGTATCACTTTCCAGCTGCAGGATCCTGGAGAGGAACAGTGTCCTCCGTCATGTGGGAGTCCAGCACTTCATCTCCATACCACCTGCTGGCCTGCGACAACTTCCTCCTTAAGTGTAGTTATTGTTAACCTTATGCATACTATTCATTTCTCCAATGTTTTAGGTGTAACCGTACTTGAAGGTCCTATTTATGCTGTGGGCGGCCATGATGGCTGGAGCTATCTGAACACAGTGGAGAGGTGGGATCCACAGAGTCAGCAATGGACATTTGTAGCCAGTATGTCGATTGCTCGAAGTACCGTTGGTGTTGCAGCGTTGAATGGCAAGTGAGTAGATTTTTCTTTATTTTTACCCGAAAAATATTAGAAAGTGAATGTTCTGTTTTAGAAAAACTTCTAGCAAGCTGGTTTAAATAAGAAAAACGCTTTACAAAACATTTTAGCTTTTATTTTCATGGCTAATTGACAAATAGACTGGTGCTCTCTCCATATAAAATACACACGGAATTTTCTTCATAATAATTGCTGATTTCAAAAGTGTCAAATACATTTCATGAGCTATTTGTATCCTTTCTGGTAAAGTGGTCAAATAGACTTCAAAAGACAACTAATATATATATTTGAATGGTAATACCCGTGTGTTAAGAATCTTCACTCCCATCACCCAAAATTAGGAATTCTTAGCCTTGACTAATGATATCTTGAGTCAGATAATTTTCTGTTGGGTGCAGAATCCTGTCCTGTGCATTATAAAATGCCCAGCAGCTTCTTGGATTTCTACTTTTAGATGCCAGTGGTACACCTATTTTTCTCTCAACTCAGTGATGCAAACTGTTATGTCTCCAGACATTGCTCAGTCTTCCTTGGGAGTTGAAAATACAGTCCTTTTCACCTTCATGAGAATCATTTTTTTTTTTTTGAGAGATTTTCACTGTAGGGCGCGTGCGCTCGCCAGACAGAGAGAGACATAGAGACAGAAAGCGAGAAATCACCCCCCAGGGGGGATGGTCATGCCGCAATCCCTTCTCCTCCATTCTCCTCTCAGGATCTTGGGCACGCATGCACACGCGCCCGGCGTGAGTTTTAAGCCACTGGGTCTGGGACACGAACCATGGTCGACTACGTGGGAGTCCAGCGACATAGCCATTACGTTAACTGCTGGTTCCCAAAATTTTATGTTCTTATATATTAAATAGGAAAAGAAAACTACCCTGCAGGTGTATGTATTTATATATAACAAAACTTATAACAATGGTAAGGATGTTCTTTTGTTTGTTAGGTTTCATAATGTTTTGCAGAAGAGCATAGTTCTTTCCTTTTTAAAACTTTTTCTATGGGGCATGTACATTCACTGGAGAGAGGCAGAGAGAGAGAGGGAGAAAGTGAGAAAGCGTTCACCTCCCCAGGGATGATGGCTCTACTTCTCTGTTCTCCTCTTGGGAATTTGGGCACTCTTGCACACGTGCCTGGAGTGTTTTCCCAGCCACTGGATCTGGGACTCTAACTGCATAGTCAGCCATGAGGGGTCCAACCACCTTAACCACCATGCCTCTGGCTGGCCCAGCATAGTCCTTTTTTTTTAACCTATTTACTTTTTAAAATACCTATCTATAAGCACCAACCCATCTGCTCTTTAGTGACTTTTTTTTCTTTTTTTTTGAGAGGTTTTTTTGCTATAGGGCATGTGCGCTCACCAGACAGAGAGAGACAGAGAGACAGAAAGCAAAAATCACCCCCGGGGGGATGACCATGCCGCAGTCCTTTCTCCTCCATTCTCCTCTTGGGATCTTGGGCACGCACGCACACGCGCCTGGTGTAAGTTTTAAGCCACCAGGTCCGGGACGCTACATGGGAGCCCAGCGACATAGTCATTACTCTAACTGCTAGTCCCTTTAGTGACTTTTTGTTTCCAGTTACAATGATACCAATAGACCCACTACCTGGATTGTTTAGAGAGCCTGCATCTCACTGACAAAGCATATTTGCTCAAAATAAATAACTATTCTTGTCCCTTCATTATCTTATTCATTTTTCACGTTATACTGTAATGAATACACAAACCCACACACATGCGCGCACACACACACACACCTGCGCACACTACACAAACATGCATGCACATTATAGTTTTACTACACTATTTTATTTTACATTTTAGATACTTATTTAATTCATGAGAGAGAGATTGGATTTGGGAAAAAGCAGAGGTAACCCCAATAGGGTTTCAGTGCCATGATTCACCCGTCTCACCTTGCTCGGATCACAGGCACACACACGAGCATCCTCACGGAGGTCCTGAGATGTGAACCAGGACTGTGCACATGCAGGTCTGATTACATCACCGCTGTGTCACCGCATGGCCCCTTATAAGTGTTTCTTGATAATTCCCTCGTAGTCTATCTTCATGACTCTTGCTTACTACTTTACTTAGAAGTATCTTAACATACATGTGTTTCCTTAGAAATATATTCTCATTTCAATCTTAAGAAACAAATGAGATGAAATAGTTAATAGTTTTTTTTGTGTCAATTTCTCACATGCTGTTAAAACTGAACCATTAATCTAGTTCCTTCTAATGAGACTTTTAAATTGTCTGCATATAAAATTAATTTTCGGGCTTTTTTTTTTTTTGTCCTTATAGTTTCTTTTTTGTGCTTTTTGTTGTTTTGTTTGTATTTTTCTTTTGTCTTTGTAGTATTTTTTATATGTATAGCTTAAGATACTCTATTTCACTTTAGTATCATTCTTTATAGCAAATGTCAGAGTGAAACGAATACTCTTGGAAGTTTTCAGTTCCTAAATTGTTTACATTTCAATTAAGAGCATTTTCCCCAGTTTTAATTCTATTCTTTGAAAATGTTTTGAACAGTTTTGTTTTTGACTTTGAATAATCTTTCTTCTTTACATTGAAATAGTACAGCTTGTATTTGAGCTTCCTTGTTTCCCTGTTGTTTGTGATTTAATGCTCTCACAATTCTGTGGTTTGCTGTGTCTATTAATGTCTACGTGCTATTTCTGTGTTACTCAGACAGAAAGAAACATAACCACTAGAAAGCTCTGGCCTTTCACTTCAGACCCATAGCAGAAAATTGTTGGAGTGTCATGCTACGACAATTTTCAGTTTTTCCCTCACCTCCACTGATGTGGTATTTTCCTCCTGTTTTATTTTCACATGTCACTAATGTGTTCTGCTAACCTAGCTGATTCCCTGAATATTAGTTTGAATAATTTTCCCAAATAAGCTAATAAAAAGCAACAAGCAGGCCTCTGAAGTTTACATTATTTATGATAACATTTGTTGTAGAGAAACAAGAAAGTGGCTCATGGATTAAAAGGGGTGGATGTGTTCTGATGGACTCAAGAGCAAAATTACATCAACTGTGTAAAACATTTTGTTGGGCTTCTGGAAAGACAAATTAAGCAAAAAGATAGATATGCCATTTTAAGCCAGCCCAGCCATAAGAAAACAGAACAAAAGAGAAATAAAAATCATAGTTGGCCATAGACAACCTCACTGAGATGTGAACCAGGACTGTGCACATGCAGGTCTGATTACATCACCGCTGTGTCACCGCATGGCCCCTTATAAGTGTTTCTTGATAATTCCCTCGTAGTCTATCTTCATGACTCTTGCTTACTACTTTACTTAGAAGTATCTTAACATACATGTGTTTCCTTAGAAATATATTCTCATTTCAATCTTAAGAAACAAATGAGATGAAATAGTTAATAGTTTTTTTTGTGTCAATTTCTCACATGCTGTTAAAACTGAACCATTAATCTAGTTCCTTCTAATGAGACTTTTAAATTGTCTGCATATAAAATTAATTTTCGGGCTTTTTTTTTTTTTTGTCCTTATAGTTTCTTTTTTGTGCTTTTTGTTGTTTTGTTTGTATTTTTCTTTTGTCTTTGTAGTATTTTTTATATGTATAGCTTAAGATACTCTATTTCACTTTAGTATCATTCTTTATAGCAAATGTCAGAGTGAAACGAATACTCTTGGAAGTTTTCAGTTCCTAAATTGTTTACATTTCAATTAAGAGCATTTTCCCCAGTTTTAATTCTATTCTTTGAAAATGTTTTGAACAGTTTTGTTTTTGACTTCGAATAATCTTTCTTCTTTACATTGAAATAGTACAGCTTGTATTTGAGCTTCCTTGTTTCCCTGTTGTTTGTGATTTAATGCTCTCACAATTCTGTGGTTTGCTGTGTCTATTAATGTCTACGTGCTATTTCTGTGTTACTCAGACAGAAAGAAACATAACCACTAGAAAGCTCTGGCCTTTCACTTCAGACCCATAGCAGAAAATTGTTGGAGTGTCATGCTACGACAATTTTCAGTTTTTCCCTCACCTCCACTGATGTGGTATTTTCCTCCTGTTTTATTTTCACATGTCACTAATGTGTTCTGCTAACCTAGCTGATTCCCTGAATATTAGTTTGAATAATTTTCCCAAATAAGCTAATAAAAAGCAACAAGCAGGCCTCTGAAGTTTACATTATTTATGATAACATTTGTTGTAGAGAAACAAGAAAGTGGCTCATGGATTAAAAGGGGTGGATGTGTTCTGATGGACTCAAGAGCAAAATTACATCAACTGTGTAAAACATTTTGTTGGGCTTCTGGAAAGACAAATTAAGCAAAAAGATAGATATGCCATTTTAAGCCAGCCCAGCCATAAGAAAACAGAACAAAAGAGAAATAAAAATCATAGTTGGCCATAGACAACCTCAGATTCCCCAAACAAAACATATATTCATGATCCTTCTGTTTCTTTTTTTGATATCTGCCCTAGTTTAGTTCTTTCAAACTTTGCATTGCAGCCAAAAGATCATTCTGATATTTTCATTTCCTGAGGTAGTTCACCAAACACACAATGATGATGGCTGAACAAATCCATAAGTAGGCTAAAATTTTAATACACTTGGAGGAAACTCCCTAAAAATCTACATCTAAATGCAACTGAGTTTGTTTCATAATTTACCAAGGCAAAATAGATTCGTTCAACCATTCAAAATCTCATCTTACCGTACTCATGGGATGAGTCTATTCATCCTGAAGCTTATATAGCTTGAAAAGTCATCAGAGCTGGAACCAATACCTGTTGTTTTCTCTATTACATCCCAGTATCTAGTACAGTGTTTTAAGCCTAAGGATCATCACTTGTATAATGCATTTCAAGACCCTGTTTCTATTTTTCGTACTTATACATTGGTGTTATATTCCTTAAAAATATAAGCCCCCAATTTCGATACTATTGTTGTTGTTATTGATAAAGGGCTTATGTGCTCACAAGAAAGAAAGAGAGTGGAAGGGAGGGAGAGAG